CATGAACCCGAGTTTTATTTCCTCCTCACAAATTGAAATTCCAGGATTTTCTGACACCCTACACAAATGGTTCTCCCCATCCACTCACTGTCCCTTGTTCTGGGGCAAAGCTCCAAAGGCCACCGACAGCAAGGACAGAAGGTGGCCCCATGTGCTTGGAGAGCAGCAACCAAAGTTACCCACCTTCCAGGCATGATGATATGAGCTGAGCACCAGTTCAGCAGATGAAGCTGGAATTCACCCTGGCTTGTCTCCTTTTCCCTCTTCAGCTTAGAGAAAAACATGGCAACGTCTTCAGCCTGCAGGTTGGAAGCATGAAGTTTGTGGTTGTAAATGGGCTGCCGCTGGTGAAGGAGGTCCTTGTCCATCAGGGTGAAAATTTTGTAGATCGCCCAGAAATGGCTTTTAGACATGAAATCTTTGGGTCAAATGGTGAGTTTCTTTTAATACAGTTCCATTTTTGCTTGCCAATTTGTTTTTTAACAGGTGTGACCAAATAGAAATGGAAATATTAGTTCAACAGAAAATATAGAGCAGGCTCCAGCTATTAACCCATTGCTGTCTAAGCTGCAGCTATTCCTATCTCATCCCAAACTTACGTGGTATTTCTCAAGAGGGAAGGAGCTTCCTGCCTAACAGAGAGAAGCTACCTCTCCTGCAAGGTAGGCCGTTGACAGCTGTCCCTTGTGTGGGCAGGACGGGTGTGCGGTGCCCATGGGCTGGGATGCCAGGCCAGTGCTCAGAGCTGGCCCCCTCCGGGGGTCCGTGCTTGCCCCCTCCCTTTCTCTGATCCCTGATCCTCATACTGCTTCTCTCTGTACTTGGGAATTATTACACCTGTGTTAATTGTTGCATGGATGCCAGACTGCTTCTGATATCTTAACTATTGTTTCTGTGTGTAAAAAGGTGAGTTCTTTGCCCCTGTTTGCTATCTGCTACAGAGAAGACTTGGAAAGGCAGTGAGAAGGAACTAGAAACAATAATCAAAATGAGCAGAGAAATACACAAACAAAACTTCATCTTCGCCTAATGCCTTGAGGGCTTGTGCCATGAGCAGGGCAAAGGAATGGCCTAAAGAGTGAAGGGAGTCTGTCTTTCCTACGTCAAAGGGATGCCCAGGTGCTCACTGCTTTCCCATTAATCCTCCCCATCTAGGACTGATCTTCTCTAATGGACTTACCTGGAAGCAGCAAAGGCGATTTGCCTTATCCACGCTGAGAAACTTTGGTTTGGGCAAGAGAAGCTTAGAAGAACGAATCCAGGAGGAATGCAGATACCTAACTGATGCCATTGAAGAGCAGAAAGGTGAGCTCTGGGGACGCAGACTGTCTCCAAGCAGCTCCCGTTTACGGAGCAGCACAAGGATGGATTAGCTGGACTGGGGCTCCAACCTCCAGCACAGCTCCAGCCCAGCTGTGCCCCCCCTTGAGTACTCCTTGTAGAGTCCTCTCCAGGTCGTGCAACCTGCATGGAGCCTTGCCTGACAGGGAAGGTCCTGTGGGGATCTCTGCCGGTGTGCAGCACCACGCACACCCACACTTTCATCCAGAGAGGACTGCGGCATGTTTCGGACTGAGCCAAGAGGGGTAGCAATGGCGGGTAAGTCAGGCGCTTGACTGACAATTCTGAAAGCTACAGGGAATGGAATGTAAATGGTTCTGAAATATGAAGGGCACACAGAGAGAGAAAGAGGAAGAGAGGGAGGGAGCTGTTGATGATGTGTTGGTCACACTTTTAAGTCTTCCTTGGAGTAAACCAATACAGATGGTCCTGAGCAGTAAGTGAGGATGCCTTTTGGAAATCAGATCCATCTGGGAATGTTGCTGGAATCAACATCCTCTTTTCTATTTTTGAATGTTGCTCTGTCTCTGTCCTCTGTCATTTTCTGGGTGCTTGGGTGCTTGGGCACTTTGCCCATGCAATAAATAAACTACACTTTCTGCCACCGATCAGGACCAGGCCTGGGAATGTTTCAAGGACCAGCTTGCAGCAATAAGGTGCTCTGATGTGCCACTGCTAAGCAGCTGTTTTCCGAGCCATCTGGCTCTGAAGGGGCCACACCAGGTCCTGGGCTCTCAGTGGTGGGAGCCATAGGAAATAAGGAGGTGGAGATAGAACAAGTCAGTGGAGGAGAAGAGAGGAGAGGAGAGGAGAGGAGAGATCTTGAGGAAGTGGATCTGGATCTACTTCCTAAAGATCTCTGATCTTCCTAAAGATCTCTGATATTCCAAGTGGAACCCTGCAGGCCAAACGAATAAACCATCAGTGCTGCCTGCCCCACCTCAGCATTTCATGGCTGCCATACACGTCACGGCCCTGTCTCAATCTGGCATGGAGCTCATGCATCAGGCAGCGCACTTTACCTGTTCTTCTACTCGGGTGAAGGGGACTTGTGGGCAGTCCCGCTGTTGCGGGCAGATCCTAATTTGACTGGGCTTGCATTTGCCAAGATGTTAACCTTTCCTCAGTGGGGAGACGACCAAAACAGTGCATCCTCACTTGGGATACAGAATTTGGTCACCTGGTTTAAGCCTCTTGGCTCCACTCCCAAACTGGAGGAGAAGCATGGGCCAAATGCAGGGGAACCCACGTGTGGTTCCCTCCATGGTGGAGACGGGTGTTGCCTGCAGCCAAGGGGAAACTGGGAATTACAGAATATTCTACCATCTAAGAACACACAGGATTGTCACCCAGGAGACAAGTTTATTTGAAAATAGGCAGAACATCAGATGCCCTGCGCTGCCCAGGGCTTCTTGTGGCAGCCATATTGAAATAGCTGGACTTTTAAAATGTTTTAGAAAATGCTCCATTCTATTCAAATATAGCACCACTTTCTCCATACGGTGTTTCCATCATATTCCCTCTGCCACCACTCCTTTTTTTTTCCCCCAGGGCAACCGTTCGACCCCCATTTGCAGATCAAGAACGCAGTTTCAAATATCATCTGCTCCGTCACTTTTGGGGACCGTTTTGANCCTGTCTTCTTTTGACTGTCACACCTGACTAGATCATTCTTTCCCACTGTCTCCCATTCATTGTCCTCAGAAAAGCATTTTATCTTCTTGTATCCGGTACCCTCCTGCAGAAAAGCTGAGGTGACACTGAGGATGCATGGCTCTGGGTGTGTGTATTCTCAGTATACCCCCAAATATGCATCACTTGCCTGGGCGCAGGGAAGGCTTTCATGCACGGAATCCCAAGGCTGAGCCAGGAGCCATCCGTGTATGCCAGCTTCCTACATGTCAGAATGGGGCGTTCAGTGAGCAGTATCCTGCATTGCCACTCCACTCCCGGTGCCTCCGTCGCTTCTGCAGGACCCCTGCTGGTGTTTCACGAAACAGCCCCAGAAATGGGCAGAAACTTGTCTCTGAAACAGGACGGCGTGCCCCACTGACCAGCCGCATGCTAGGAGGAAGCTTTTGAAGCTGGTTCCTTGTTCCTTAGCCTCAGCTTCCTGTTGACTAGCAGTGGATGCTTCCCGTTTTCTGGACCTGCAACCTTGATGTTCTTGATTTCCCTCCAGAGTCCTAAAACAAAACAGTAGAAGAGATAGTCATGGATAATTTCAGCATGGGTATGAATTTGATTTGAGTTTTAGAGTAAGCACTCAATTCCACCCAATGACACACTAAAGAAAGCAATTCCAGGCACACAGAATGGGGTTGCCATGGGTGTTGGTGCCCTCTGCTGGCAGGCTCGTTCTGCAAGTCATCTTGTGATAGAGAAGTTATAACAGTTAATATTTATATTTTAATCTGATATATTATCTTTCTATTTGGTTTGTATGGTAATGTGTTTTCATTGGGCTGTTTTTGTGTTATTGGTTTTAGATGATGTGTTGTTTTATATCGTGAGCCATGCAGGGAGGCCAGTACGGACTATTGTAGCAGACTATAAATCCATTAAAGTAAATGAATAAGTTGAGAATGCAGCACAGGGGAAGCATTAATGAGAATCCTGGGTGATTGTGATGTGTAATCAGGGACCAGTGCACCATCCTGATTCGAAACTCTGAGCTAAGCAGAGCAGAGCAAGCTGCCCCAGCTGGTTGGAGACTGTTCTGTACAAGCAAGCAAGCCAACAGGAGTTCAGCAGGGGAGGTCAAGGGGAAGGTCCCTGAATTCAACTCCCACCCACTTCTCCCTTTTCTCTTTCTTTGTCTTCCTTCTCATATACTGGGGGGGCTCTGTTGTGAACCTTCAGGGAAGACCAGAGAAAGCAGAGGCCGTTGCAACATGATCAGCAAGGTAGACTCAACGGGGGCGAAGAGGCTCCGGATGGAAAAGCCTTCCCAGGGCTCCTGGCCTGCAAGGCCCGCGCAACCTTTGCTTTCCTGCCCGAGGGCAGCAGCAGCTCCATGTGCCACCAGCGCAGGCTAGAGCCCCGGGGGAGGGCAAGGCGAGCACTCTGGTTCCCCACATGTCCACCCTCGAGGGGAGAGGAGAAGATGCAGCGTTTCTAGGCAGGGCGGTGGAACAGCAGCCACTAAGAGACAGAA